TTCCAGAGCTTGCTGCTTGCTGATCTGCGCCACCACGTCGAATCTGTCAGTTATCGGGACGTTCTACTGCGATGGAGCAGCTCGTCAGTGCGGGCCAGGGGCGGTGCTCTGCGAGAAGCGGCCTCATTTCCTGCCTACCTTGGCTCAACGCAAGAGCTGCGCAAGGCGGTTATGCCAAATATTCTTGGCCTTCACCGAGCCCAGCACATTGCAACTGCTATAAGCGCTTACAGGGAAGCTGTCTTACGCGAGGTGCGGAATATTATCCGCAGGCCCATGCCAAGCTCCAATGACGACGAGAACGAATCCATGATGTCCGCGTCTACAATGAGTGGCGGTAGGCAGCGAACGAACCAGGAGAAGTCGTCCATATTGGCAAGAAATCTCCGAGCACTAGATCCAAAAGATGCCGAGGAGTTGCTTAAAACTATGTATATTGGCGTCACAGAAATCCTGCGTCGCTTGACCACTCAAGTCAAGGTGCTGCTCGACATCGCAAGCTGTCTGACTGAGGAGGCCACTGCGGCAGGGCTCAAATCCCCGCCGATCCGGTCGCCTCTTGCAAGCCCAACGCCATTTGACCGAGAGTTCCCCAGGATGGACGTCGCTCCAGGCAGTTTTGAAGTGCAAGAGGAAATACACAAAGCAATGGACGTCCCCAATTTGGTTGGGCAAGCAGTCGACATGGCCCAGGACAAGGTCTTGAAAGTTCTGAAGGTCCGGTCAGAACAAAGCACGCACCTGACACTGGGTTGGTTCCTGCGATACTTCACGCTGAACCTTTACTTTTCCAATGAGTGTGAAGCGATTTCGGGACGAAGCGGCACATCACTGAAGACCCTTGTCAATAGCCACATCAAAGAATTCGTTCAGCAACACGGAGAATCTGAGAAGCAGAAGCTTGCTCAGGGCATGGAGTCGGATCAATGGAGTGCGAAGGACTTTGATGAAAAATCCAAAATACTACTTGACCAAATCCTCGAGAGCAGCACTAAGGATGCTGCGGCGTGGACCGAAGGCACCAAGATATGGGAAGATCAGCCCGACGAAGAAGCATCGAATGGAGTTGATACAGCACTCGAGACAAACGGTACGAGCAAAGAAAAGGCGCGAACGGCAGAGATTGAAGGGGAGGCGTTCTTACTACCGAATGCTGCGATTCTCTGCCTCGAGGGTATCTCGCACTTCCTGCATCTCATTGGAAGCATCCCGTCCATGGCCACAGACATTGCAACTTCCCTCATTACTTACTTACAGCTGTTCAACTCTCGCTGTACACAACTAATTCTTGGCGCGGGTGCTACTCGATCTGCGGGGTTGAAGAACATCACAACCAAACATTTGGCGTTGGCATCACAAGCTCTATCATTCATCGTCACGCTGATTCCCCACATCCGGGAATTCGTCCGGAGGCATGCTGGCTCAGGTGCAGGCGTATCCAGCTTGATGGGCGAGTTCGACAAGGTTCGCCGCCTGTTCCAAGAGCACCAGAACAGCATCTACGACAAGCTGGTGGAGATCATGAGCGGTCGCGCGGCGGCGCACTCCAAGGCCATGAAGGCCGTCGACTGGGACAACGACACAAGCCAATCGACACACCCTTACATGGAGACACTAGCCAAGGAGACCACGACCCTGCACAGAGTGTTGAACAAGCACCTGCCCGAGAACTCGGTGCAGATGATCATGGGTCCCGTCTTTGCAAGCTACAAAGACCAGTTCGGAAGGGTCTTGCAAGCATCAGACCCTAAGACGGACGCTGGTCGTAATAGGTACGCTTTTGTCGCTAAACGAATGTCTCCACTTACTAACGTACGCGCAGCATGCTCCGAGACGTGGACTTCTTCATCGCAAAGCTCGGCAAGCTTGACGGCTTCCGCGATGCTGGTGACTACCTCAAGGGCATCATCAACTCCAAAGAAATCAAGACGGCCCCGTCGCCTCCCTCGGAGAAGCAGGCAGACGGCGGATCGGAAACAACGGTGTCAACCACCACATCAACAGCTGAGCCGGGCAGCCGGCAAAGCGCAGAGGACGGAAAGACGGAATCGCCCTCAGGGGCAGATGAGGAGCCAAAACCATCGTCGTGATGTTAGCTGTAGGATGACGAGGCAGGGGGGGAGGGGGGCAGGATTTCAATCGTGGAAGGAGCGGACTAGCATGTAACGGCGTCAATTTCACAAGGAAGAAAAGCTGTACTTCTTTTGCTACAGGTAATGCTGTACCACACATTCCACTGGGGAGATCTACAACGTACCATACGCGGCCCGCCTTTAGCTGCGTTACCCCCTTCCTTGCAACTCTTTCCGACGTGCCACCACACGGAGAGAGGGACATGTGCTCAATGAGAAGAAGTCACGACGACTGCAGCTGGGCGTTTCCCCACGGGTAGTCGCATACGTTCGCCCGTCAGTCAAGGGAAGCCCGCATCCTGCGTCGTTTCAGACCTGCCACTCCCTCGTCGGATCCAGCCTGCCGGGTCCTTTGGTAGTAATCGTCAATCGGGCAGCTGATGGGGGAGCGATCGGCTTGTCTTTCCCTTTTGGTGTTTTTCAGCTCCCCGCAGCATACGACACGGGTAATCAAGCAGGAGATACCCTTCATTTTCATCCCCCGCCAAGGGGGAAGGCGAGAGGATGACGATAGCAGTTTAAGTGGCTGTCGTCGTCGTTGGCTGCTGACGTTGCCTGTGGCCTTACCAAAAAGCGCACCACCCCCCGGGGTTCCGCCTTGTAGCCAATCAGAGGGGCAGGCCCGACGTCCGACTCAGATACCCCTGCGACGCGTAGTCTTTACTTCCTAGTAGCATGGGTTAACAGCAACGTCGTCTTTTTCTTTTACTATGAAGTGATATAGTATATTAAAGTATACTTTTTAGAAACTCTACTAGTATATAAGCTACCCTTATAACTACCCCCTTTCCCTCTTTACTTCTCTCTTCCCACTTTTAGTAGTTAGAAAGGACTATAGCTATTATTATACTTATTTTATTTATATAGTTTTTATATTATAAAATTTCCTCTAACTTATTAATATTTTCTTTAAACTTTTTATTATTAAGTTCTTATAAAGTTCTTATTTATTAATATATCTATTAGAACTATAAATAGATATATTTTATATCTAATTTACTATTTTATAAATATAAGAGATATATAGTAATTTATAAAATATAAATAAAGTATTTATAATAGTTTTTATAATTATCTTTAGTTATAATATTAAAAAAAGTATTATTAATAAACTATTTAAGTTTATTTTTATTTTCTTTTACTATCTAAATAGGATAATACTTTACTCCTATTTAGTTATTAGTTATTCTTATAATTAGTATTCTAGTTAATATAGGTTTAGATATAATAAGTTAATCTTATTAGAAATAGTTAATAAATAGAAAAAGACTTATATTCTTCTTCCTATATAATCTTATATAGTAAGTTATCTATAAACTATTAAAGTTATTAATAATATTCTTATAAACCTAGATTAAAGCTTTCTAGTTATTATAAATAGTATTATAATATATAATAAGTATCTATTAAAGTATAAACAGAATTTTCATAATATAGCGTAAACCTCTACAAATTAGATATAGCTAGGCTTAAAAGGTGGAAGAACGTCATCTTTTTCTTCCTAATCTATGACAATCTACGAAGAGTATTGCCCTTCTCCCTCCCCCACTGAGGAGTGGAGGCGGTGCGACGTTTCTTGCTTTTCGAGGGCTGCAGAGGCGTTGTCTTTGTCGTTGCTTTATCCCGGCCGTTGAAACGTCTGTGGGAACCCCTGCCTTTTTTACTTTTTCCCCCTTGCTTTTCTTCTTTCTGCTGCTGCAAGCTGGCCTGTGATTGATATATGTGTTGGTCTGTGGTTAGCGGGAGTTTGCTGCTTCTTCTTATGCTTGTGGTCGTGTTTCCGAGTCTCGTCCCAATGGACGGGGCCGGGGTTGACAAACTACGGATACCACGACGGAGAGTCGGGTGTGGTATTCCTACACAGATTGAAGGGGCGGTTGCAACGGTGATCTTTTCCTTCTTGCCTGGTTTATTTTTCTTCCCCTTCTCGTTTGAAAAGGGAGCAACGGCTCACAAACGTGCGCGCTGGCGGGAGCTAGATTAGCCAGGATGATTAGTTGGTAGTTGCCTATTTGAGAAACGTAGACTTTTTTTGGTGCCGGCACAGCCATGGCACAGACCGTAACGTCCCCCGGCAACTGAGGTCGGAGGTGAGCGCGGGCCTCCCGTCCTTCATTTTAAACTCATAACAGAAACACACGAGATGAGATGAACACCTCCTCACCAGGGGTTAACAACAATAAACATCAACAGAAACTGGGATGAAGAAAAAAAAACATCGTAGTCACTTTAGATTCAATGGGCACAGTGGACAGTATGATGTTTTGAACGCTTTTGATTTTTGATATTGTTTTTTCCTCCTTTGGTGCAAAGGCTTTCCCTACTAGGTACACGAAAAGTCTGTATAAACAGAAAGAGGTTTCCCTAAATGGTGGTGCGCAAAGGAGCGATAAGAAGTTTTTGAGATCTCATCTTTATCCCGTAGAATAAAGTCGAAACGCCCAAAAAAAGAGAAAAAGAGAAGACCAAGGCTTAGCAGAAAAGTCTTCTCCTTGACGGTGAGAGGGGGGAGAGGGAAAGCGAAACGCCTGAATTGCTCCAATTGCTCCGATTTTCCCCTCGACAGTCGAAACGCCTCCGCCGGTGTTGAAATAAGGTGTAAACACAAAAAGTTGCTCTATATCCCAGAAAGTTTTATCTCTCCTCTTCCCCCTGGCGAAGAAGCCTTTCGCCGTTTGAGATTGTTGGGGTATCCGTTTTGATATTTGATGGTGTAAAAGGGAATGATAAACAAGTTGAATCGCTGAACTTTTTGAGGGTTCGTTGGCTCATCCCGTGTGAAGTGGTCATGAAGTCGTGGCGCTCAGCGCGTGAGAAAAGTGTCCGCAGGAAATGATAAGGGTGTCAAAGTCGAAAGGCTTTAACAATTTACCACTTGCCAAGGACGAAGTCACGCTTGACGGCGGGGGCCTCCTCGACCTCGGCGTGGACGTCGCGGGAGGCGATGGAGGTCAGACCGTTCTTGCCGAGGGTGCAGATGAGGTCAGTCTCGGAGGTGGTCTTGGTCTGGATGTCGTCGGGGAGGTAGTAGGCGTTGTTGCACAGGAAGTTGTCGCAGCCGGAGGTGGGGGTCTGGGCGGAGGCCGGGTACATGAGCTTGACGCCGTCCATGTCGTTGGCGTTGACGATGGCGGAGACGTCGAAGTAGGTCAGGTCGTTCCAGCCGTTGAAGGCGACCTCGCCGAGCATGCCGGTGGTGTTCTCGGAGCCGTCCGAGACGGAGTACCAGTTGCCGATCCAGGCCTGGGGGAAGTCGACGGTGGTGGAGCCCTTGGCGGGGACCTTGACCGAGTCGATGGCGGCGAGGCCGGAGTTGGCGATGAAGTAGATGGTGCGGTCGGTGTCGTCGAGGGACTTGAAGGTGACGGTGTTGGCGGCGACGGCGACGGCAGAGCCGAGGAGGGCGAGAAGGCTGGAGAACTGCATCTTGAAGGATGTGTTTTGGTGTTTGTTGATGTGTGTGTAAGTGCCGAGGATTGGGCTTGGAAGGTTTTGGTTTTTGAGAGTGAACTGTAAACGTTGTCTACAACAGTTGTACAGATTCAAAGGCAGTTGTTTGGTGGTCACAAAGGTATCTGAGCCGCTGGCTATAGACCTTGGAATGAAGAGTTGCCCTGGGTTGGGTGGTGTGTGGTTGAGTGAGACTCGAGTTGTTCTGAACGGGACCTAGCCGTTACAAGAAACTTGGTTTGTTTAAGCTTTCAAAGGAGTGAAAAGCTGTAAGTGAATTGAATGAGGCTGTCTGAAGAGACGAAAGTGCCAAATCGAAGGATAGTGATGTGGGATGAAGATTCAAAACCGGGGACAGGAAGGAGAGGCACCAGGGGGATGAGGGAATACTTATACATCACGTCCGAATGAAGGAGCACGAGGGATTAGGGACATGCTCGCTCATGAAAGACGTGTGGTGGGGAGCTTTGCTGGAGCTTGGAGGCGTCAAGGAAACGTCGACCACGTCTGGTGGAGACGTCAGCCCGAGGGTGTTTCCCAGAGATGCATGGAACATGCCCCCATCGGAGAGTGGGCTTGGATATTGGTCAATATGGCGGTAGAGCTTGTAACTTTGTATCTTGTACAGAGTACACGGCCGTTGTAACTTGCCAACCATGATTGGACGTGCCCGTGGAATTAATGGCCTCACCAAGCTCAGAGCTCTGGGTCTGGACCTGTTGGGTTTGCCATCCTTCCGGGCCCTACACCACTGGGCATGTTGTCGTAGCATAGGGAGTAACCGTCCAAGACGTCCGGCGTTCAGGCTGGCCTTGGTGCTCCAGACGAATGGCTCTCCTCCATCGTTTGGAGCTGGAACAGGGGGAATCGACGGGACAGACGACATGAGAAACAAATCCAATGATGGCCCTCTGTCCCCTCCCATTCCGCAATTCGTCAGGTTATTTCGAGGACTCCGCAGTCTGCACCTATTCTTGGGGGCGTTTTCAGGCTGTGTCTGGGAGTTCCTTTTCGTTTCTAGCGCCAAGGCCGCCCTCTTCGGGGGCTAGAGCACGGCTTCGTTCGCGCAAATGGGATGGGGATGGGGGCGCCGCCAGGAGAGGACGGGTACCTGGCGTCAAGGGACGGGCTCGGACTGGGCAGTGCGGGTGCGGGTACGGCACTCTTGCGGATGGTGGAGGGAGTCGGTACTCCAGCCCTGGTGTGGTGGACAGACAGACAACCATAGCGATTGTTGTGAATGTATTTCGAGTAACCCACGGATGACTCTGCATGTATCTTCAAGGCTCTGCAGGTGCGTGTTGGCACTACCATAGTACCTTACGCAGTACTCAGCAGGATCATGGACGTCAGCCCTTGGGGCGGTTTTGGTTTTTTCTTAGCTGCAGGACGCATCTGCCTTCGAACGCCTGTATCGCAGCGTCATTGGTCAACCGGCGGGTGATTGTGCCTGGTACCTGACACTAACAACCAACTCCGCGTGGCGTGCCCTGACAGGCCCGAAAGAGGAGGAGAACAGCCTGCGTCGTCTTCTGTCGAGGTACCTACTCAAAAAAAAAGGCGCGATTCGAGGCAGCCCAGCACGCAAATTAGCGCCGCGGCACCGCGGCTCATGATTCGTAGCCGACGAGGGCCCCATAGAAAGACCCATGCATGGCAGGAGTTCCAGTTCCAGTTCCCTGAGTCCGTCCTTGGAAAAGAGGGCCAGGGCTGCTGCCCCTGGCCGAGGCGCCGGGCTGCCACGACGATATGGGAAAGATGTGCCGGCCACTACCGAGAAGACACCCCCTGAACCGCTGAGGAAGGCCGGACAGTGCAGCCGGCACGGAAGATGGGAAGGGAGGGCGCGGGAGTGCCGTGCTGGCGTGCTGCGGCCTATGCCACTTGGGTGAAGGCCAAGGCAGTAAGGCAGTGGAAAACAGGGCCCAAGTTCCCGTCGCGCTGGTTCATCTGGTTTCTTGCGCAGGTCCAGTTGGCCGATCAATGTGACGAAAATGCGGGCGACAGTGCTTTGCTTGGAAGCCGCCGCGGCCAACTACTGCGATACACATTGGACGGGGAAAACAAACAACAGACGACAGCCAGCCAGAATGGCGCCGCTTCGTTAGGTTTGTTGAGGCTGGCTTCTGAACATTGGATGACAGCCTGACTTGCTGTCGACTCAGATAAAGGGGAACACGCACAGAGAGGAAAAGAGACCTGGTCTCGTGTGGCCGGGGAAGGCAAAAAAGAAAGGACGACAGCGTATCCGTAATGTCGCCAACAAACCGAGTGACCTGGCAGCGAAGGGACATCCATCTCGGTTCGAATCCTCCTGCGACACAGACGATGCCACGAAGCCCGGAAAATGCCTCTCTGTTCCCTGGCAGACTCCATCCCGTCCTCGACAACTCGTCACCGACGAAAGGAAGGGGCACTTGGCAAAAAGGTACTTGCGGAGGAGAAAGAGGGGAAGGGGGAAAGAAACTTCAGCGAAAAAAAACTGGAAGAACTGGGTCGCTGACCTCGGTGGGCGAATCGGGGAGGATGGTTCCCAGCTCACGGCCCTGGGACCGCGGTACTTTACCACTTGTCCAGACACTGGCCAAACTTTTGGAGGGCAGCTCCAAGGTTGTGTTTCTGGGAACAAGACACGAGGGAATAGGATGGTGGGAAGGGGACGAGTGGGCTTGTGCCTGTCGATCATATTCCGAGTGCGTGGTGCGGTGAACACTGTAGCCAGGAGGTACAGGCACAAGGCAAGCTTACCGCCGTGATAGACGACCTCAGCTCGTTACACCAGGCGCCGTAACATTTTCCAGCAGCGCCGGTGTTGAGTGTACTGGGCGGAGTTCCCCGGGCACTGCCCGACGTCTGCCCTGCCAGGAACAAGTTTTGTGCTTGCATCCAGACCCGATTTACGGTTTGCCAGTGCCGGCCGCCCAAGCTGTGTCTGTGCCTGCACATCTCGACGGCCTGGAACCTCAGGTGTGGATGCCTCGCTGACTTTTCGAGGGATTTTTGAAAAGGATTTTTTTTTCTTTCTTTTTGCCTGAGTCATCCCATGTACATCCTGACTTAGTAGGTATCTCGACCGAAGGCTGCATATTGAGCGACGGCCGAGCCACCGTCAGCCCGTCGCTGACCTTGCAGTCAGACGCCTCAGTCGCGCCGAGTGCACCCCATGTGCTAAGTTGGGGCGAATACAAATGAATAATCAATATGTTCAGAGGCCTCTCAGAGTTCTCAACATCCTAAGCCGAATCGCAAAAAGAATGGACCAGTCTTGCGCCTCACCGGAGCAACGCAATGGGCTTCGCAACCTTGCGAAGTTGCAAGGTTCGTGGTTCAAATCTACAAGCTCAAATCTAAGGTATTTTTTAGAGTGAGAGATGTGCTGTCAATCACCAGCCACCCAGCCCGTCAGCTCGGTTGGTCAGAGCCAGACGAGCAGAAATCCCAGGTTGCGTTGTATCAAACATGTGCTTTCCTCCTGGGATGGTATTGAAGCAAGTTTTTCTGCCCGTCCTCAGGTACACTGTCACTGCTACCTGCACCCGTACGTCAGGGACGGGCACACACAGTTGGCAGTCGCAAGTGGTTGCATGCGCATGTGTTCCTTGGCGGCCCGTCGATGATCATTGGGACGGGGACGGTCGAGACCACAGCCGGGTACCCACTGATCATCACTCACTTTCCGGACGGAACAAGGCCGTTGTGCATGACTTGCGCAGGCACAGGCACAGGCCCAAGCCGTCGCCCAGCAAAAAGAAAGAAAAAACCAGGAACCAAACGGCCACGGACGGTGCGTCTGCCCTCCGGCGCGAAGACTGCTCCAAACGGAAAGACTGTCCGTTCGAGAACGGGGTGGGGGCCTCTGCGGGCCTCCAGGTCCTCTTCTCCGTCAACATCACAAGCTCGCAGGGGGTTCAAGCCGGGGAACACTTCTTGCGCTCCCACTGCGTCCCAGTTTTTCGTCCTCTTCCACGACTTCTCGCCTCTTGCCTCTTGCGGCTGCACTTGCTCGCTTGTCATTGATTCATCAGCAGCCGTTGTCACTGGCTGAGGTGTTGGCTGGAGGAGATGGAATTCCCTCACACCTTCTCAACAGAACCGCTCTTCCTGCTCCACCGGACCGCCGTTGCATTCAGCAGTGGAACGCCGCAACATGGCCTTGCCAAACTGGCTTTTGAGTTGGCCCCAGAACCGTCACCAGCGTCACAGAAGGTTGAAAACTGGCACTCTGCGAACGGTTGCGGAGGTTCGTGACAGCTCCTGACCTCATCATATCCATTGGCACCCCGCCATTCACCGTCATCTCCAACATGTGCCTCCTCTTCGCAGACGACATATTCCCACCACGGAAACCAGTGTTCCGCCCAACAAGTTGAGCTTGAGACGATGGCAAGACGGGATACACGTGAAAACCCTTCCACGACCTTGGCCATTTTGCCGGTTGCCCACCATGGCACCAACGCCACCGTCATCGCAACCTGCGCAGTAAAAGCTTTTCGCCCGAGGTCAGTCCGGAGGCTCTCCGTCGCTTGCCGATCGATTCGGATGCTTCGCGAGGGGCATGGAGCATTGACGACATATTGATCAACTCTCAGAGAACCAAGATCCAAGAACCTTGAGCATTAACTCCAGAGCTGAGCAGAAAAGCCCCCGCATATCCATCACTATGTTCCGGCGGGGTTTTCCCTGGCCTTTGACGGCTGATCGATCGAGGCATTGACATATCTGGGGCTGAACCTCGTGCCGGTGGGCACTTACAGACCTTGGAGCCGCTGGGATGGAAGACGAGAGCGCCTTTCCCGCTCCGGGCTGACTGCTGAGCGGCCTCGCTAGAGAAACCGCCATCGGTCGGAACGTTCGTCCGGGTACCGGTCGTGGGCTGATTTGATCACATTGCCCAGAAATGGCAAATAACGGCTCGCCGACCTCGGGGAACTGCTCGACTGCGGTGGTCGATTGAAGTTGTCAGAGTCACGCAAGGCACAAAGATAAGCCTATCGATCCTCATTGGGGCGAGATGTCACATGCTAAGCTGCAGTTGTGCTGCAGTGTCAGCAGAGATCTTCTCAATATCACTTCTTGGATATATTGATTGCTATACATCGCTTGAGCATGTATTGGGGATGAGGTGCATTTGCTCAAGCTCTTTGGGAGCCTGGTCTGCTTCTCCCACGAGCCGTACTTTCCACTTCCTTCATTATCCCTTCGCAAGGTGCAGAGAAGTCTCTGCCCCGAAACATTGTTGGTCTTTTCGCGCGAGCTTAAGACATGTTGTGACCTGGAAACACGTTCCGAAAGTACGGAACAATCAAGTCAAGTGTCTTGAACGGCGATTTGCAAATGCTCGAACTTCGTCGACGATGTCCCTTACAGCAACGCTGCTTATTTCGACGCTGGCTGCTGACAGCCTGCTTTTATTCTCATTCATAAGCAGCGCAGTGGCGTAACATGTTGGTCACCCCGCACTGCCCGAGGCTCATGGGTCGAAAAGCGCCGAACACGAAGTCTTGCCTTCGCCCTTTGCCCAATCTGGCGGTATTCTTGGCCCAAAAGCATTCCTTAAGCGACGGCCTTGGTTTTCTTTGCTAGCGTCCAGTCAAGTGACTCGACGCCGGAGACTTGTCGCTTCACGGACACGAGCGCCCTTGAGTAATACCATACAATTATCCATCGCCCTGCGGAAATCCGCGACGAATTGTTCTATTTTCTATCGGTCCTGACGACTGCCGACTTCTCGTGGTCTTTTGCTAAAATGCCTCCGGGCCATGGCGACGTTGTGGCCTCAACACGAGCGACACCATCTAACCCCTGCCGCCGTTCTGTCACTTGCCCAAAACGAAATCGATAAAGTTGCCGGTCCAATCGAAAGGAGCCTCCAGAATGGCGTCAACTCCAAAATGGAAAACACCAGAACCGTCAGCACCTGTCAGAACGAAGGCCGCCTCGTATCTGGCCGTCAACCGCAAAGTCACATCCTCCCGCATCTTGTCTCCATCTGGCACGACTGCATACCGCCTGCAAGGTGCGTACAGTCATCACCACGCTCCGTATCGTTATCGCGGCCTCCTGGGGTAAAAAATCACGAATTCGGCATGGAGGGTTCAGGACCGGCGCGCCCGACCTAAGATCCGGGGCGAGGCAAACGACCGGGGGATCTGTAAGCTTCAGTCTGCAAGGGCAGACGAGCTAAACCAGCCTTCGCGATGATTCTCGCCGGCGTCCGTTGTGATACATAAGGCGAGTGAGCTCCCCGGCTTGGCTGGTTCTTGTCTCCAAATCACAACCAGCATCACCGAGCAACTACCAACCAGCAGCTTTTGCTTAAACGTGCCTTTGGCAACTCACTCTCGTTCAACAGCCACTCGCTTCGTCAACATGAAGTCTATGCAGATACTCGCGCTCGCCGCTGGGCTCTTCGCCGTTGCCAATGCCTGGGGGACTGACGTCCACACTTCCTACACCACGATCGTCACTACGGCCTACGAGACGTACTGCCCTGTGAGTCCCATTCGTCTCACTCATGATTATATGATTCAACTAACAGCGGATAGTCTCCTACAACGTTTGTCCACCATAATGTGACTTACACCGCAACGACCGCAACAACCCTCACGATCACCAGTACGTCGCTCCCATCTCTCCTCTTACGACCTCGACTAACACCCTCTAGACTGCCCCTGCACCATCACAACTCACCAACCACCCCCTTACACGACGACAAAGACCCTCCCCCCTCCCCCTCCTCACGCAAACACGACCACAACCTCCTGCCCGCCCGACCAGACGACCATCGTAACCAGCACAAAGACCCTCCCCCCTCCCCCTCCTCACGCAAACACGACCACAACCTCCTGCCCGCCCGACCAGACGACCATCGTAACCAGCACAAAGACCCCCAAGCCCCCTCACCCAACCTACCACAACACCACCATCCTCACGCACACCCCTAAGCCTCCTCACACCCACTCGCCCAAGCCCCCTCACCACAACGGCACCACCTCCACGACCGTCATCGTCGTCACCCCTCCCGCGGAGACAACCCTCGCCGGCGTAACCCCCGTCGCGCCGCCCCAGCTCACCACCACGAAGCCAGACTCGCCGCCCACAAACACCCCCGTGGGCCCCACGACTACGCGCCCCGTCACCGTTCCCGGCAGCGGAGCGGAGCATCTCGGCGCCGGCCTCGGCGCGGTCGCTCTCGCGGGTCTCTTTGCTCTGCTCATCTAATGTTCTCTTACTTAATTCCTAATTCCCCATCATCGGGGGAAACCACGTCTTGGCACACGAGGGCCATCAGGCCTAGTTGAGACTTTTCTTATTCCATTCTACACTCTCCTTCATGGGCCGGCAGAAAAAAGTTTTGGGAGGGGAAACTACCGGGATTTACAACACTACATGATACCATATGGCATTTTGATTTCGCGGGATACAACTAGTCTTTTGTTTTGCAGGAAGCATCGTTGGAACGGGTTTGATTCATCTGGAGTCAAGCGGAGTGCGGAGTTTCGCCATACTGGACCAGACTGTCCTTACTTAGTACAAACACATACACATACAATAATAGCGGGCAACAAGACTCGCGATCACGCTCCTTCACCAGAAAACTCCCCAAAAAGGAAAGGAATTGCTTCGTTTGGCGGTGGCGTCTGATCAAGCAAACAGATCGTCCACGCCCGCTTATGCGACCTTATCTAAACCTCACCCGGCCCCCCTCGCCAAGAATCAATATTTCTCTTCTCTCGCAGCTGACACGCATATATCCCTCGCCCTCCCCCCTCTCTCTCAGCCTGAATGGTGCAAGGGAAGAAAAAGCTTTGCTGTGCCGCAGGCCTTCACGAACTAACCGCGGCCACCTCAGCCTAAAGAGAAGAGATGCGGTGACGATGCCTGATGCACCTCGTATTCCGCCAACAAATGACCCCCGCCCCCGCCTCACAAACACACCATCTTCGACATACTCAAGGCCCCTCTTCATTCATAGCCTGCTCCCAGCACCGCAAACCAAGGTAGGTAGATAGACTACCCGGTCTAAGACCTAGCCCTGGGTTGGGTGTTGTAATCCCCCCAATCTCCCGTCCATTCCAAAGAACGATAGTCCAGTCTCCAAAAACGGTGTTGGCGTCTCCCACACCCTGCCACGAGCCAAGCACGTGGTTCGCGGGACCTTAAACCGCACCGCACTTAATTCGCCTGGCAGGGATTGAGTCTTCATGGGAGAAGCGCTCGCTCACTCATCGCCAGAGAGCGGGGGAAAAGACTCGCAGAATCTCGTATCTGCGTCCCTTGATCGCTTCTCCTCGCCAAGCCTCCGCCAACATTCCCTTGGAGCCTTTTCGTTTATCCGTCTGCAACTGTATGAAGCAGTATATTTACGGTTTGGCTTTTGCCGTGAGCGGCGGAAACGTTGCATTTCCACGCCTTTGAACGTCGAGGATGGCCACGTTCATCTCATCGCAGGGCCGAATGAGGTGAGGGAACAGTGGAAAAACGCCGGTTCCAAGGTTTCAGCGGTGTTGCATGAGGCCCGCTGCGACGATCATGGGTGGCACATTAGGCGCAATGAAGCCAGGAGAGAAGGAAGCCTCGAGAACGTGGTATCTCAGTTGCATTGTACTCGAGCATAAAACATACATGAGAGCTCTATGCCTTCTCTTCTCTTAGACGCCTCATTGTCTGACCGTGACATCGGCTAAACTGCAGACATCTCCGCGGGACTGAATGGGACAGAGGTCTCGCAACCCGTGTGGTTCTTTTCGCCATGTTCAATGACAAGGTCATGGGCTAAGACCTACTCCCGCATTACGTAGCCTCGCCTTTGCTTCCCTGACCAAGCCCTTCGCCTCCTCAACCTCGTACCCGTCCTGGGTGAGCTCCGTGGCAAGCCGATTGGCCGTCATAAAGTCATGGCTTGCCATGGCATGCTTTGCCAGCCACATCCGCGCCCTGCTCGTCGAGGCAGTGACGCCCGTTCCCTCATGTCCGCCGTCTCCGCGGCCTTCTCCGTTGCCTTCGTCGTCAGAAGCGCCGGGAGAGTCGTTGTGAATAGCAATCGAATCACCCAGATTGTTCTCTGCAGCGGCCTCACCACCCTCTTGCGCGAGACACAGCTCCATGTACGCTTTAGCCTCCTCGAGCTCGCCTAGCTGGTCATACATCATCGCAATCTGGTACAGCACCTCTGGGTCCAGTTGTCCCGTGGCACCCCGGCTGCTGAGTAAGTCTCCTCCGCTGCCGAAGCTGCTTCCAACATCGTAGTAGGCATCCGCGAGCAGGGCTCTCTTCAGAGCCTTGATGCCGTCCTGATCGCGTCCCATCTTTTGTAGACAAGAGCCGACCGCCATCCACATCTTGCCGTCCCAGGGCCTGAGTCCAGCCGCCTTTTTGTAGTACCACAAACTATAGGTGTGCATCTCGAGCATCTCGTATGTCTGCCCGAGCCCGTACCAAGCTCGGTAGTCCCGGCGGTTGACATCGACTGCGCGTCGGTATGATTCGATCGCTGCATGGGTGTTCTTCAGCTCCACATACTCATGGCCCATGAGCGTCCATGCAGACAGGCAAGTACGGTCAAGTGTGAGGGCTCGACGGAAGTACTGTACTGCTTTCTCGTGCATTGAGAGCAGTGAGTAGTAGTTACCCACTACTACACAGGACTCTGGACGGAACTTGTCGATGCTGGAACACAAATGTGCCAGGAACGCAAGCTTCGGTCTCATGTTCATGACGTAGAGGATATTGGAATAGTGATCTAGCGAATCCAGCCTGTGAGGGTGCAGTGACAACAGTCGACTAAAGTGTTGTTCGGCTGCCACAAGATCTTTGGCGTGATATGAAAGGAGCGCATTGCATGTGAGTAGGAATGACGAGGTGGGGAAGATGTTTAGCAACTGATCCAGAGAGTTTGCGAGCTCAGGACTTTGCTGGTATAGCTCGAGGGATGTGTGGAGATGAAAAATAAAGGAGACGATGTTTTGAGGAAGATGAGCTGATATACGACTCAACTAGCACCAGTTAGCATGGAAGTTCAAGTTCAAGTGCACATCCGGGACCTACGTCGTCGAGCCGTGAAATCAGCGAGGTCATCTCGAGCCAGCAGCCCCAGTTCATGGGATACAGATGGACACTGCGAATGAAGAAGTCCATGGCCTTATCCTCATTCTTCTCCTTCGCAAGCACCATTCCATACCTGCTCCAGTCAGTACTCGTCCGAACCATCAACGCGCTCACACTCACAGGTATTCCAGCCAGCCCTGGCTTCCAAGCACCTCTCCGTCATCCGTCGTCCTCTCGTCGAACCAATTGCTGAGAAACCGGCTAACAGCATTCAGCTGCTTGTTGACCACGTTGCCCAGATCCTGCGGTCCCATCACCATCTCGGAGTCTTCGTCCTTGCGCTTCTCCCCGGACATGACCTTCGCATACAGCGCAAGGAACAAACTCTTCTGGCTCAATCTCGGGACCTCGGTGGTGCTGAACGCCTTGTCTTCTCTCGTCTTTCCCTTTCCCTTGGGCGTCCCCTCAGCCTTGGCGTTCATCATGCCCGATAGCACAGCATCCGGGAGGAATACCGCGGCGCAGCGGTCGAACTCTCTCGAGTCGAACAGCGCCTTGGCCAGCAGGTATTTGTTAATCTCCCTGGCCTCAAGCAGAGCCTCCTCGGGATCGGCGTTGGGCGTGAAGACGGTCGGGACATATTGCCCATCGGCATCGGCGACGTCGGCATCGGTTGAGGTCTCGGGTATGGAATTGAGGAGCTCTGCCGCCCTGGGAACAGGAGCAACGTTAGCTACAAGCTCTTGCAGGGGTCGCCTCGGACGGCAGCAGGGAGAGAGCTTGCCATTTCGCAGACGAGTAGAGGCACCGCTCGGAGCACTTCACAACGGCATCTTGGAGCGAAGCGCGGAGCTGCGACAGGTCATTCTCGTTGAGCGACATCTCTGGGCATCCTCGGCGGGGGGTCGCTGTTTCGTTCGTGTGTGTGTACAGCAGTGTCGCGCGCGATGGGCAAGGGTGAAGGCCTCAAAAAACGCGGCTAAAGATGCCCCAATTGGTCCCGTTATCCGATGTTGCGCTTACGTTTCTAGACACAGTCTGAGCCGCGCATACGAGAAGGAATCGGAGAGTTTGTTGCCGTCGAAGGGGGTTGAAGGACGCTGGAGCTGTCGAAATGTACGGATTGTGTTTCTTTGACCTGACGTAGTAAGGCTTAACGGCAGAAAAGGCGTTATCCACTTGGCGATGGAAGTCAACATCCACAACGCGCTTGCTGGGCGCGACGACCTAGGTAGGTTCAGTTTAGTGACACTGACCGCCTCTGCCCCTCCACTTCCAGGGAGCAACAGCCACTGAGCAAGGGACCTGATCAGGACGCCCTGGGCGCCTGTCATCCCGAGTGCCAGCCCCACCACGCCCGGGAACCGTCGCTTTCCATTCCCACTGCAACTTTGCCAGCCGCAGCATCTGCCTCACCGTAAACCGGTCCAAAGTACCCCTCCACCGCCTGCCTGAATCGAACAAAATGAAGATCGGATGAGGGGTCGCATTGGTGGTGGTGGTGCAAGCTGAGCCGTTGGTACCAATTCACTTGATTGCCCGCACTTTTACCACATGTAGGTACAACAATTTACACGCCCGGCGCATTAATTTGCGATCAACCGCCCCGCGCAAACAAAATCTCCCCCTGCCTACTTCACCCGCTCACCCTCACTTTTGCTTACGCCCCGGTCACCCATTGTAAGTCCTCCACGTCCCACCAAGCACCAGGGCCCCCTTTTTTTATTTTGCCTATCGGGAAGACAGAAAGTCTGCTTCGGCCTTGCACTTCTTAACCCAACCCATCCTCTGATACCTCGCGCGACCGTTGGAAAGCTGACCACGAAAACGCCTCAACAAGCCTCGTCCCGATCCATAGCTCCGCACCATTCCAGAAACCGTCAAGATGGCCAAGAAAACCACCCTCGCCGAGTTCGAGTCCGTCTTCCCCAAGCTCGAGGAGGTCCTCGTCGAGCATGCGCAAAAGTACAAGCTCCCCAAGGAGGAGCTGTTATGGTACAAGAAGGCAAGCTGACACCACTACCACCAACACCACCACCACCGAGATCGGTGATGGCAGTTGAGACACTGCGCTTGTCTGCAGAAAGGAAATAAGATCATATCAATTGACAATTGACTCCGCCCCGGAGCTATACAGTCCCTCGAAGTCAACACCCTCGGCGGAAAATGCAACCGCGGCATGTCCGTTCCCGACTCCGTCTCCCTCCTGCTCGGCAAGCCTCTCTCTGAGGAGGAATACTTCCAGGCGGCCACCCTCGGCTGGATGACGGAGCTCCTCCAGGCCTTCTTCCTCGTTTCGGACGACATGATGGACGGCTCCATCACCCGCCGCGGCAAGCCCTGCTGGTACCGCCACGAGGGCGTCGGCAACATCGCCATCAACGACTCCTTCATGCTCGAGGCCGCGATCTACACCCTCCTCAAGCGCTTCTTCCGCGAGCACGCCTCCTACGTCGACCTCATCGAGCTCTTCCACGAGGTCACCTTCCAGACCGAGCTCGGCCAGCTCTGCGACCTCCTCACCGCCCCCGAGGAGCAGGTCAACCTCGACAACTTCTCCATGGAGAAGTACCGCTTCATCGTCATCTACAAGACCGCCTACTACTCCTTCTACCTCCCCGTCGCCCTCGCCCTCCACTGCCTCAACATCGCCACCCCCAAGAACCTCAAGCAGGCCGAGGACATCCTCATCCCCCTCGGTGAGTACTTCCAGATCCAGGACGACTACCTCGACAACTTTGGCCTGCCCGAGCACATTGGCAAGATCGGCACCGACATCCAGGACAACAAGTGCAGCTGGCTCGTCAACCAGGCCCTGCAGCTCGCTACTCCCGAGCAGCGCCAGATCCTCGAGGAGAACTACGGCCAGAAGGACAAGGAGAAGGAGGCCGTCATCAAGAAGCTCTACGACGACATGAAGCTCAAGGAGCGCTTCGAGGAGTTTGAGGAGAAGCGCGCCACCGAGATCAAGGACATGATCAACAACATTGACGAGAGCGAGGGCCTCAAGAAGGGCATCTTCGAGGCCTTCCTGGCCAAGATCTACAAGCGCAGCAAGTAAACTGCGCGCGCATGCGACACGCTAGCGGAAAACAACGAATCGAACGAGTTGAAGAGAGATAAAAAAACCTTAATGTGGCGCGGCATTGGCATTGAAGACAAAAGAAAGATACCTGAGTCCAATTGAACTGATGACGACGATAATAGACCGTTAGATTCATACATGGCCATATTAAGTAAACAAAGAAGATTTCCTGTCCAGATACATCACCGACTTGACATCTGTTCCCCTATTTTTGTGCTGTGTGACGCAAAAGTCAACAACCGGGTATCTTCCAAGCTAAATCACCCATACGCCAAATCTTGCGTGCACGGCTTACTCAGGGCCCATTACTCGTCTCTTCCCCCGAGACCTTCTCTTCTGTGACCTCACGGGCCATTATGCAGCTCTTGACCTTTTTTTTCCTTTTCTTTTCAACTTCGGGTTTTTTTTTTTCTTTCTCTTTGGCGTCATTCTCGGTCTGAGACAAGGTTGAGACAAGCCATTGTTATCAAATGGCAACGGTCAATGTCTGACAGTGCCACTCCGACCAAGGCCCTGTGAGGCGCGGGGTCTCGCGTCGCGACCTCGCTCGCGCTCGACAAAATTGATCAGCGGCACGTCCTCGTCATTTTGTCGCGAAGTCCGTCTCGGCATCGACGGCATGGGTGGTTGCTCGTTAGACACGACTCGGCGGACGGGTGCGCCACCAGCCGTCGAGCGACTCCTCGGTCTTGAGGCCGCCGATTGCGAAGCCATGCGCTGAGGCGGGTACGCCTTGGTCGTACCCATGCGAGTTACGGTTGGCAGTTGCGGTGCCATTGTGGTATCCGGCGAGTTTTCCCAGCCCGTAGCCATCTGAATTAAAGGCGTGCCTGTTGGCGCCTTGATTCCACGGCCGTGACCCTCTCGCCAAGCGGCAGGCAAATCTGGGACTTTGGGTGTTAGGTCGACCAGAGGCTGAGGCATCCCTGGCTTCCTCTGGGACGGTCCGTCCGATGTTGTCGGGCGTGCTGACGCAGTTGGACGAGCGACGGGAGGGCGGGACCGGCTTCGGGGTTGGGCCATGGGTTCCACGGCCGACCGGGACGTGCGCACCGTACCTCTTCTCGCGGGCATCCCGCTCAGCTGCCCGGACGTCTGCATCTCAGGCTCTGGGTAGTTGGTGAGTAGTCCTCCAGTAAAAGGGCTGTCGGGCGAGAGATCTTCGTGAGCTGCAGCTGCCGCGTTCTTCTCAGCCTGCTGCTTTCGTCCTTCATACGCGCGACCCAGCAAGCCACTGTTTCTGAATTCCTGGTCCCTGGCAAATGGATCAATGTGCTTCCTCGGCATCGGAGAAGCAAGGTTGGGCGTAGTCCTTGAACGAGAGACGACCTTTTGCTGCTTCGGAACAGAGAGCTGCTCTGCCGGCCGCATCGAGTGCTTCTCGGGCTCCCTGCCAATATCGTCGATGGACTTTTCGAGCTTTTCCATATCCAGGAGCGGAGAGAATGTTCCAATCGTGTATGGAGTCTCGTCTACCGATACTTTGAGTCGGTGCAGGGTCCCGCTTCTGGCGAGACCACTCGAGGGCTTCTCGTTCGGGCTGCGCGATGTCTTCTTTGGCTTGCTCAAATCAACCTTCTTGTTGACCAGATACCAACTGCGCCATGAGTGCAGGACTCTCTTAAAGTCCTCAGCGAGTCTAGCGTCATCGGTCGAGAAGAAGTGGATAAAGTTTTCGGTGTTTTGGAAAACGCTGGACTTTTGCTGACTCTTCACGGCAAATGTGTTCTTCTTGGGTGCTCTGATTTGCTTCAACATGTCCTTCTCTGTGACTGAGTAGAGGTCGAAATCCGAAAGATGACACAGTGAAAGCGAATCCTTGTCCGAAACCTTGGCGTCCTTCTTCTTGGCGGAAAACACCTGCCCATCCTCTTTGAGAGTGATGTACCGTTTGTTCCATTTCCCGGGTCGCGAAGAGTGGTACATCAAAAAGTTGATCAGACCGGCCGGGGGGTCGATAGTGCGGGGCACGACCTCGACGTTTAGATCGGGGTTCTTGTCGACAGAGTCTCCAGGGATGATGAGAAGGCAGTGCTGGCTGTCACGGTCCCATGAGTTCAAGACATCTCTCACCCTCTCATATCGCCTAAGCCGACGCTCCAGGCCAAAAGCGAAGTAGCACTCCATGACAATGCTGGTTTGCGGGTTGATGTTCTGGGTCATGAGGTTGGCGGCCGAATACAAGATTTCCATGGGAGTCGTCTCGGGGGTGACGGGCAGGCTGATGGACGACTGCATGCATCGAATTGTCACTCGCTGGGCGAGGTGTTAGCAGAGGCGCATGGGACAGTACGAACGACTCGTTCAACTCACACGTTCGCCAGCATTGCTGGCTGTGATGGGGGCATCGGTCTGGGGGACGATGCCGCCTCCGCCGGCCTGAATGAAGCGTGTGGGATCCATGACGCTGACTGGCCGGCAATCGAGCGAAAGTGGCTGAAAGTATGTGGGAGGGGACTTTGTGAGCGTAGCAGAGTCGGACTTGCGACTTTTTCTAAGAAAGAAGGCGAACTTGTTGACGATGGGGGATCGTCGGGGCGGAGGGTCGGGAACAGCGGCTAATTGAGCCTGAAGTCTTGCGAGATCCTTCCTCTTCTGTTCTGCCAAGATGCGATCAGTCTCTGCTTCGAGACGGGCGACTTCTTCGGCCCAGCGGGTGGCCTCCTCCTGTTCCTGGTCCTTGCGCCGGCGATCGTCTTCCTCCTCCTGTTCAATCTGCTGTTGGAGCTGCTGTTGCTGCTGGCGGTGCTTCTCCCACTCTTCGTCTCTGAGCTGTTCTCTGCTGGGTACGGGGTGGAGGTTGAGTTTGGTGATGATTTGGGAACGGGCGTGGTCAGCTCGTGCAGAGAGCTTGAGGTCGGCGCATGACGAGGAGTTGGAAACGAGGATCGGGTTGTGCGAGCGAGGCCTCAGCTGGGGTAAAGGAGGCGGCAGAGAGTCGCGTGCTACCCTTGCGGTTAACGGAAGAGGAGGCGGCAGGAAATTCGGAGGAGGAGGAGGTGGTACATTCGGCGGTGGTGCAGTTGGTGGTGGTGGTGGTGGTGGTGCTGCTGCTGCTGATCCTGCAGGCGATGGTCCTTCTCCTAAAGGCAAAGCAGCACCAGGTACCTGGCCGAGAGCGAATGCTTGGAGAAGGGGTGGTAGTGCCGCTGCCGCATCAGCAGCTGACGCTGGCAATAATGACGCTGATCCTGCAGATGGGGCAGGCGGACGCTGGGCACTCGTCTGAATGGCCTGGTGGGTGCAGGAAACCCCTGGGGCTGGGGTCCTGGACCCGGAACTGGAGCGCGCTAAGGAAAATAAGGAACCCGGTTCGCTTGGGGTGCTGGGCGAACCCCCCTGCAAGGGGCTCTCGGCCGCATTGGGGGCTGTTTTTGGCCGCCGTCTGTTGGGGTAGCTGAACCGCACAGGAGACTCGGGACACGGCGGCGCTGTGACGCTTGCTTCTGCTGCTTCCGTGCTAGAAGAATACGGGTGGTAATCGTTCAGGTTAGACCTCGAAGCATAGTAGCAGCTGGCGGTGCCGCGTCCGAGAAAGGAGGGGGATGCCTCGTCGTCGTAGTCGTCGTCTTCAAATGCACCAAAACCAACACCAACACCAACATCGGGCCACTGCCAATGCGACTGTGGGCGCGACAACTGCAGCGGGGTCTGCGGCGGTGGTTGGAGCGTGAGTGCCGGTGCCGTCCGCCGTCTTGCCGCGGAAGAGGGCGTTGTCTGGCCGCGCTGCTGCTGCTGCTGCTGCTGCTGCTGCGTATTCCTCGCTGGTGTTTGTGCCGCTGCCGTCGCCAGTTGCTGCTGTTCTGTCGTCTGCTGCTCATCATCGACGGCGATCCCGATGCAAATGCCAATGCTTGTCGCGGTGCCCGTTTCCGTCGTGGCACTCGACACAGTGTCGTCATCCTGAAAAATGTCCACGTCCCAGTCCCTCCAGTCTCGGCCAAAGTCCAGCACGCTCTTGTGCTCCCGCAGGTTCCTGTACCGGGTCAGCCGTCCGGCGGTAACGCTGTGTCCCCGTCGTGGTGGATGCGGAGCTGGCGATTTGGGTGGTCCTGGCCCTGCCGACATGGTCCGACTAATACGCGGATGCAGCCCGCCTCCAGCAGCTTCCATTGCGCTAATTATTTATTAATACCTTTCTGTATTCGTAAGGATTTGTTTCTCGGTCGGAGAGGAGACCAAAGGATTCGAATGCCTCCCTGAACAATCAAACGACGATGCCGACCCGACCCCTTATTCTCCCGTCTGTCTGAAGAGATCGATCCGATAGACGATAGGGCTACTCTGCCAATCCCCCGGATTTTCTCGTCCGATATGGATGGCGTCGATGGCAGCGGTAGGAAGGTTGCGGATAGCGCAAGCGGCAGCGGCCCAGTCCGCTGGGACCTCGGAGCCGGAGCTGGAGATGATCTCCCCAGCCCAGCAGGGAACTGCTGAACGTTATCTTGCGTCCGGATGCAGTCCTCCCCCAGGACCCTGCAGATCATGCAAGTGATTGATAACGATCCAGCAGATTGAGATGACCTTAATTTTCTTTCTTTTCTCTTTTTTCTTTGTGCAGTCCCTTCTTCGGGTATTCGGTCAGACACTCTGACGCCGTCCGGTATCGATTAAGCGTAATTGCCAATTGGTGTAACCATGGAAAAACGAAGCAAGGAGATAATTAAACGTCGTTGTAGTTGTCGCTGCTCTCGCTGCCGCCCACCGGCAATAATTGACACAGCGCAGGGGTGAAAATTACCTGTAAACTCGGGTCTGAGAAGGAAGCAAAAGAAAGAACAAAATTTACCAAAGGGAAAAAAGGAAAGTGGCGAGACCTTCCTTCCCATAAGTCGGGTCCGTCAGGAACGGGGTACCAAGGGAGGCTTTTCTACGACTCTTGCAATTAAAACTCCACCTCCCGCCGATAGACATGGAGAGACACTCAAGAGGCATTTGAGAAAAAAGGGCCACCTCTTCACAAGACGCGTCCACCGGCACGCAGCACAATGAGGTGCAACTGCGCCCCGTGAGCCAGATGCCAATCGCTCATGTCCAATTTGCCTGGTCTATTGTGTCATCACACTTCTCTCCACGATGCATTCCAAGTCCAGCCCTGAACGCCGTCTTGGATGTGCCGTGTTTACACTTCCGCGAACAGGCGACGCGCTCGTGCAGAGACCACTATATGCATTTCAGTGTCAGAGACGGATTCGTATTGTGGAATGAACCTGTTCCTGAGCCCCATCTGAGCGTCCCTGTCTCTGTCCCTTCTTTCCCCCCCTGATGCTTTGACGAAGCATCCTGACTTGCGGACCGATTTTCTAGCTCAACAACAGCCATCGCCATCACGTGCTGCCCAATGCGTCTTACGCTACCTGTCCAGTGCCAAGAGTGGCAGAGGAACTTCATCCCAACCTGTGAGCAGAGTGGCATCTTCTACACAGCTCCGTCGCCCATCTGCCGGCCCATAACTTCCCATCTGTCGAAGTTCGCCGATGCAGTTCGTGCAAGGGGCTGATCCAGATTAATGTCGGAAAGCGTGCACCTCGCGTCTCCACCATCCAATAAAGTCGCTTGTCGATACGTCGATGCCCAGGTCCTTGAGCGCTTTGGTGCTAAGGTGGCAGTCGTACGGACGCTGCACGCTGGCATTGGGGTCGTTGCCCTCCGTGTTCGCAATGATGCCGTCCATCGACAAGTCCATGATCTCGGCAAACGTCTGGCAGATCTCGTACTTGGTCATTCTGTCCTCGCTGGAGAACTGGAGGATCTTGGGGAACGAGCTACGGTCGTCGGCCTCGGTGTACTTGACAGCAATATCTGATCCACCGTCAACTCTACTTCTGGGACTATGAGAGAGTGCGCTTACCATGGCACACGCGACCAACATCTTCAGTGTTGGTGGGGTATCGGATGGCCCAGTGGTCCATCTTCACCTTTGACTGCCCGTCTTGTGTCTTCCACAGAGTGTCCAAGAGGATGTTGGTGGCACTCTCGGCAGGTGTTTCTGCCTGACCGTACAGGACCGGTACGCGCAGGACGACACCGAGACCTTCGCGGCCGGCCTGCTTGTACTCCTCTAGCATAGCATGCTCTCCATCCAGCTTAGTCTGACCGTACAAGTTCGTAGGGCCAGTCTGGGCGTCATTCTCGTAGGGGGCCTCTCCAGGCTTTCCAGAGAAGACGTAGTCGGTGGAAATGTAGATGAGGAAGATGCCCCGAGCAGCACAAAGGCTGGCGAGTGACTTGGTGGCGGCAACGTTGAGTGCTCTGGCGGCGTCGGGGTCGCTGTCCACCTTGTCGGGATATCGCTGAGCCGCACCTATTTTGAACGATTGATGAGCGATTCGATGCAAATGAAGCAAGTTTAGACATGGGTTGACACACAGTGCACAACTACTCGAGGCCTGAAAGATACATTAGCTCCAGCTGCCCAAAAATCAAGAGCGCAGGCCGACCTACTTGGACTCCTCGAGAAACTTCTCAACTCCGGCAGGGCTTCCCAGATCGACCTTGAACACCGACACGTTGTCTGCGCGAGAGTATCCCATGCCCTTGACATTCCAGCTTTTGCGGTCGAAAGCTCTAGCGACCTGGCGTCCCAGGAGGCCGGTCGCGCCAGTCACAACGACGTCCTTTCCAGCCATTTCGTGTATCAAGGCTCCGATCAGAGTCCCAAAGAAAGTCAAAAGTAACAACGCGATTTAAGTTGGTGAACTGTTAACGCTTTCTTCGTCACGTTATGCTCTCGCTCTGGCGATGATAGAAAGCTCTAGCTGCCCCTCAGCTACCTACCCCGCGGTGGGGGGTTTCCTTCACCTGCGACAACTCAATTGGACGGTGTGCCGGATAATTACATCATCTTCACACAATGCATAGAGACAGCGTAAACTGTGACCTCCCTGTTTCTCTCGAAACCAGGACCCCGAAGCCTCACAGGTCAACTCTGCAATATGTTCAGACGAACTGGTTGACGACGTATCCACGGGTCCTTCCGAAGGCTTCGGCGCCGCAACAGCCCGGGCTCACCTGGCAGGAAAACTAGACCAGAAGCAACGCTCAAGCTGCCCCGAAGTTGGCAGCATGCCTAAGGGCATGTTGCGGAACTCAAGGGCAGAACGTCGATCCTCTGGAATTGAGCCAGTTCGACGCCGGCTCACCATGTACCAGAAGCGAAATCTTCAGCGAGAAACAGAGCACGGCACTCGTAGACTCGCAGACCGCTGGTTTTGCCCAGACCCTTGGCTTTTCAGGAATGAAATTGTCGAAAATTCTCGAGCAAAAACCTCCCGAGTCATGAACAACCCTCAACGACGCTGGACCGCCATGCTTGGGCCGCGCGCCTTTTATCATGGCTTTGACAAGACATCAGCCAATGCTACACGCTGCCCACCTTCCGGCCGACGGAGCAGTCGAGCTTACGGGCCTCGAGCGCTGCGTAAGCAACATCTCGCCTCACGAGACGTCAGCAGCATGGTGATCATACCCAGACAGCGGCCAACCCTTTTGACATGTTCATAACCACGGCATTTATTATATAGCCCGGGCACCCAGATAACATCAGATCGTCCGCCAGAGCACCTCGACGTTGCAGCACCCGATTCTCGCGCCATCGTGCCCCAGACTAGCCCTTCCCACCGGCGCGTCTCAAGACATGGACAGGGAGAGCTGCCCTTACACTAGCAAGCAGACCGATTAACAAGATTTTCGTCTCCTCGAGCAAAGCTTGCGCGGCGGAACTCGCCGCTAGCAACTGGACGAGACCCTCCGGAAGACCTGAAGCAAAGGGCTCACTGCCGAACTTTCGATGGAAGTCATCGGGAGCAGCAGCCGCCGGCACGCTCTACGGCGCAAGTAATACCGCGACCCAATCTCCCCTCCGAAGTGAGTTCTGATGAAGCCAAATTAAACCGAGGAAGAACTCTGGGACCGCATCTCGATCCTCCGTCCGGTGCCGTGCCATGGCCCGGACGGCATGCGCAATAACGAGACAGCATTCTTCCCATCTCCTTCATCCACCGGCACGGCGTTCTCCGCCAAGAGATGGGATCGCATGTGTCCACCGTTGGCAAATTACCTTGCATCAACGGCCCGGTGCTCCAATGTCCATCTCCCGCTTCGAATCCAAAACCCAAATCAAACCGTGTTCTTTGCATATCCTGTGGAAACATTCCGCCCGGTATTCTCTCTTCTTCACGACGCCGGCTCCCTCACCCCATCACATCTTGCACAGACAATGCTGCCCTTGCCCCGTTGCATTTTATTTTTGTGCCCCCTTCCAGAACAACCGCAGCCCACTGTGGCGCACCCGCGCTTGGCCCTGCCTTGGACGCTAGAAAGAAACAGCATCCAAGCCCACCAACCCCCGGCGAGGTTTCGAGAACGCGTACAGGCCATGTCGCAAGGCCAGAAAGAATAAAAGCGGGTGTGATCTAAATCACTCCCGATGATGCGGTGGGGAAGTAAGTATCAAGTATATTGCCTATTCCTGTGCTTGGGTACCATTGGGCCCCCGTCCCCTCGAGCGAGCGTCTTTTCTTAGCGGCAATGGTCTATAACACGGCGTTATATGCATGGGAATCCCTTCCCCGCGGCTCGTGACCGACTTCCACGTCCAGCGTAACCGCAGCATCACCAAGAAGAGGCAGAGAGCGGCAAGAGGGAAAAAATCGATTTTGTTTTCGCAGTGTGTGTGCGCGTGAGGTATCTTTAATCTATATTGTACTACAATGCAATCGTCATCATGGCGGCAAAAAACGAGCGACCCAAGGAAAAGGGGGAGAAACCCGCTCCCATCCTCCCCCGGGCCTCTCTCAGAAACTCTCTGAGCTGTTGGTAGAGTACAGCTTGGTATCGTAATGACTCCTCCCGGGGCCCCTATCCATCGGTGGTGGCGGCGCCCTGCCCCCGGCTGGCGGCGGCCTCGGCGTGGAGTCCCTCTTGTCATCGTACACAATGTTCACCTCGGTCGTGCGCATGATGCCGTCGTACGTCATGATCTCCTCCTCGCTCGTCGTCGGCGAGTGGCCCCTGATCTCGGAGCGACCCTTCATGTTCTTGAGCTGGAAGGTGTTGTCGCGGTTCGT